CTTTAACTACTTTATACATATGTAAAGAGTTGAAATGTTGATTACTCATTTTACTCGAAATGTTGATTAATCATAAAGCAAATTACTCAAATATTTTTGTTTTTGGTTAATCAAAAATCTTGATTACTCGAGTAAGTGAACTTTTGAGTAATCATAATTTCCAATTAATCGAATAATTGAGTTATTTACTTTATGATTAATTAAAATTTTGAGTAATCAATTAATCGCACAGCCCTAATTTCAACACTTATTTTTTTTATTGGTCAACGCAAAAGTTCTTATCAGGTGTCGCTAAGCAAGCCAGCATTTGCTAGTTTTTAATAAAAAAGGTACATTAGTGTAAATCACCCGCCATTTCAGTTTATAACGTAATAATACTTATGTTTGTAAAGTTAATAACAAAAACTTATATTTTTAGTACTCGAAATTAAATAATTTTATGTTATAATGTAAACATAATAGCCTATCATTAAAACAATTTTTTTTCAGGCATTTTTGAGGTTAGGTTTGTATGGGAGGTATGCTTTAAAATAAATCGATTACGTCCATATTTTTGGAGTTCATAATAATAATAATAATAGATTGGCGCTTACACATATGTTAGTGCTTGGCCGAGCTTCTTCTCCGATTTGTGGCGTGCACCTTGATATTGTCACACAACGGGGAGGACCTACAGTTTTACGCCGACTCCGAACGGCGATTTTATTTTTATGAGAAGCTGTTTTTCATGGCAGAAATAAACTTGGATGTTTGCCATTGCCTGCCGAGGGGCGACCGCTGTTAAGAAAAAATCTTTTTTCTATATTTTTTGCGATGTTGTTACCACTAATACAAAGATATGGGCCAAATTTCGGACTCATATATTCATCGGTGCTCTTTTTAATGACATTTTTGAGGTTAGGTTTATGTGGGAGGTATAATTTAAAATAAATCGATCACACCAGTTTTTCGGTTTATGTCCAGAAATGTTGCTTGCAAAAAAGATAGGTTCTACGCCGATTCCTTCTAATTTTTTCCTAAAAGTGTATGGGGCTGTACTACTGTGCTGCGTGCAAATTTGAGCGCTAGGTAATTATAAGAGGTTAGATAAACACCACTATTCTCAATTAAAAATGGAACGGAAATAACTACTTTTATAATTCATTGCGTGTAAATTTATTAATTTCCATGTTAGGATGCGTTCACACTGAAAGCCGAGCGGCGCCGAGCGCAGCAAGGTGGAAAAGGTGAAGCTGCTGGTATTCACACTGAATGAAGCGGAGCTTCTCCGATGGACTTGGCTGCAAAGATACCACAAAAAATACCGTCAATGAAAAGCGCAAAAATATTTGCAAAATTTTATCCAAAAAATTATTTGTAAAATTCGTTTTTGTCTGAATATTGTGATGATTTGTTTGCAACAGCATCATGAAGCTGAAAAATTAAGTAGAAAATTCAAAATCAAAAACTGCCTTGCTTTCAGCTCCAAAACGCTTTTGAAAAAGCTTGCTGAATGAACACTTTCACATAGCTACGGCGATTTGAAAACTTCACTCAGCTCGGAACACTTGGCTCCGCTTTCTGTGTGAACGTACGCTTATAGGCGGCATACACGGTGCGGCTGACTCGCGAGTCGGTTTGTATGTGTTAGTGAAAATAAATATGCATTCTCTGAATGACTCAACTGTGTGTGGTCGAAAGACGAGTCAACACGTGCACAGATGACTCGCAAGTCAGACGAACCGTCTATGGAGCCTATTAGGCTAATGAAGTAAATTTATTCGGTACCTATATTATTTTATGTATTTTTTAAATGTATGTTGCAGATAAAGTCACTCGATTCCAACAATCTGGATCAGAAGAATGACGATGGTGTCGAAAGTGCAGCAGTATTACCAGAAAGTCAGAAGTCAAACGCTTTACAGGGTCCTTTAGTTGATGCTCCTAATAAAATAAGTATACAAGAAATCAACATCAACGATAATCACATTGAAAGTCCCTCCGTTGATGCTAAGGCGAGCACTGAAGATGTTGAGCGTGTCGCTTTGGAAGCAGCTGTGTTAAATCCGCGAGTTGTGCCTGGCACAAATAATATTGCAATTAATGATTTTGTCAACAGTCTAGACACCTATACCTTGCCGCAAAAGCAACATTTCCACGGCGCTACAAATGAGCGTCAAACTTCTGTTATTGCGGCTTTCAAGCACTCATGGAGCGGTTATAAAAAGTATGCTTGGGGACATGACAACTTGAAGCCATTATCACAGGGTTCGCACGATTGGTTTGGCTTGGGTTTGACCATCGTAGACTCGCTGGACACAATGTATATAATGGGTTTAGAGGATGGTATGATTTTAAAACACGCTTTTTTTCCAACAAAATACGTCTAACTTATTCCCGCAGAATTTAATGAGGGTCGTGAGTGGGTCAACAATTTCCTCACTTTTGATATCAATCGGGATGTGAATCTGTTCGAAGTGACTATACGTGTGTTAGGTGGCCTACTGTCTGCTTACCATTTAAGTGGTGATAAAATGTTTTTGACGAAGTCGGTGAGTTTATTGCACATATTTAAATACACAACCAAACACCCTTAATCGTTTCTATAACAGATTGAGCTAGGCAATCGCATGTTGCCGTGCTTTCTCTCGGCCTCTGGCATACCATTTTCTGATGTAAATCTGGCATCAATGAGTGCACACTCGCCTAAATGGTCCCCAGATAGTTCGACCAGCGAAGTAACTACCATTCAGTTGGAATTTCGTGATCTCAGCCGATCTGCTAATATATCAATTTATGAAATAGTAAGCAATAAAACTTAAAACTTGTTAAATATTATTCTATACGTTTATCTTCTTAATAGGTGTCTCATGCAGTTAATAAGAAGGTCCATGCGTTAGAGAAAATCAATGGTCTGGTACCGATATTTATAAATGCAAATACAGGCACGTTTAGAAATTATGCCACAATATCCTTGGGTGCGCGCGGTGACTCCTATTATGAGTACCTATTAAAACAATGGCTACAAACTGGACGAAAAAGAGATGATTTGTAAGTGTTGAATATTTTGGTGAAGTCTTTTATTATATTGTTTTCCATGATCGCTATTAATTGTATGGAGTACCCTATTACTTAAATTTCTTAACTACATAATTCAGTTGATTGCAACTTAAACCAGTAAAAAGTATAAATGTACGCCAAACCGAACTTTATATACCTGGCTCACGTATTAAATGTCGTTTTTAACCTTTCTAAATACCACATTATAAGCAAGAGTGTTTTTTCCGGATTTCAAAAATTTAGCTTCTCCTTTATTGCTAAAATATTAATGCAAGCGTCTATTCTGAGTGAATTAACTTATTTAGTTGCCGATTTAACGCAGTTTCCGTATTTCTGTAAATTACCCTTATATGGAAGTTGCCTGTTGGTTACTGTCCGATTTCAAAAAAATTTAACAGGTTTCTGTCCCGAGTTTGGTGGGGGTTGATGTAGTGATTACTCACTTACAGCAATTCTTCATAAATCGACGGTGCCACGCCTATTTTCACAAAAGTTTATAATTGTCTTATACGGCTTTCCCACGGCACCACAATTATGTAGTTCGCTCTCTCATTCGTAATTCGCACTCCACCTTCGAATTACGTAATTCGCCATACAACATTTGGAGGGCGAATTATCTCATTTGTTGGTAATTCAGATCCAATTACCACGCGAGTTACGAACGAATCGCTTGCACTTTTTCTGAGTATGAAAAGTAAAGTTCATACATGTGTACATCAGCACTTTTATACGGAAACTTATAAATTTTTAGCAATAACTTACATTTGGCATCAATTTCGCAGCCAAGAAAAAAACAGAGACAGAGAACTGTCAAATCGAATTAAGAATGTGCCGGTGGGAATGGGATAATTCGCGATCGTAATTGGGGAAGCGAACAAAGTAATTCATGGTGCCGTGGGAACACCGTATTATATTATGCTAATATTCTACTTCAAATTCCAATTTCCAGCGATTGGGATGAAGTATGTACTTACGGAAATTTCGTTATTTTGGGATTTTTTCTAAAATACCATCATATAGGTGGTGGGCGTGGTTACCATCCGATTGCACCCATATTCAATACCTACCTGGGATGAAGGGATAACCTTGTACCAAATTTCGTTGAGATATCTAAATTTTGCTCGAATTATTTTATGAACCTATGTATGTCTATATTTATCTCGATTCTATTAGACTGTTACAAATAACCGTTATGCGAACGAAGTTATATTACCAGTGCTGCAAAACAAATTTGGAGCTAAAACACTAGAAAAAAAGAGTTAAATAATACTAAGCTAAATTTTTTTAAGTTTAGCATTTATTGACGTAAAGTTGATTTTTACATTTTCCGCAATTTAAATAAACACAACGCAGTGCTGAAAAAAAACTTGTAAAGGAGCATGAGGCTGAGTGGAAGATCGACCTATCTCGGCGGCCGTTCGAAAGGCCCTATCTCAGAAATTTTCTCAACAACGCTCCATCTCAGAAAACTTTGTAAGAACGTCCCACTTCAGAATTTGATTGAAAAACGCATTATCTCAGAATTTGGTTGAAGAACGCCCCATGAGAAATTCCATTCATTGAAAAAGTGACAAATTGTCATTGTCCGGGCTTAAAATTGTCGCCAGTCATATGAAATTTATATGTAAATCATGTACAATAATTGCATTTGCATTATTTTAGTTTTAAGAAATATTCACATTATTGAAAAATAATGAAATGCGCGCAATTGCCATATAAAAAATCCTGTGAAAGCTTTCCGACCGAGCTATTTGGTTTTTTCCGCCATTGTCGCGATAATTTTGTCAGAGTGACAATTGGCAGCACGATTGTCGACAATATTCCATTTGGTCACTGTCGTTTTCCAAAAATTTTCACAGTTGCCTACAAACGTATATGAAACAGGAAATATGTCGCCGACAATTCTGGCAGTGAAATTGAAATCCTGTCATCTTCTATTTTTTTATGTTGCTTTGCTGTTCGTTTTCGTCCCAATGAAACATAAAAAGTGCATATTACATACATCGTTTCTAAGGAAGATTTTCTTAATTTGCGGAGGTTTTGGTTTTATCGGGAGTGTTTTACAGTCCTTCCCGGCCAATTTGAAATCAGTACCGTGGGTCCCGATATCCCACGCCCATCTCTAGTACTGACTATGTATTGCATTTTTCACGCAGATCCAAATACTTATGAATTTTTTTGCCTTTGATTGTTTGTGCTCAACGAGAAAGCATTATCAAGACGATTTTTCGGAAATGATAAGTAGCACATTCTCCTATAATCTGGGATTCTTATTCTGAAGAAGTAAAGAAGTATGTGTATTTCATACCCACAAATGTAAAATAGGTACCTGCCAACGACTACCACAAGAAAATTCACCTTTTTGTTTTTATAAAATACGCGAAATTCAGTTACAGTGGTGAGCAGCCTTTTTTCTCGCATTTGATAACTGGCACAATTGTTTAGTACCTGTATTTTTATTCCACAGAACCTACCGATAAACGTCTGACCGCTCAAGAAGGTACACCTTAATAAAATGTATATGTTGTGCGAGTTGCACTAGAAATTTTCTGATTTTCTCGATTTTAGCAAGTAAATTTGTAATTAAAGCCGTATTATACATACTAGTATCGCCCAGTTGTCGAAATTCGACATTTTTTCATGCACTTTTAAATTTTGGTTATCACCGATATTAACTCCTTTATTTATGCTAATGACGATTTTGAAGTCCACCACCAAAATTCATAGCGAATTTATAGGAAAACTCAAAATCAAATTTCTTACTAGCTTTCGAAATTATACCGAGAAAGGAACCTCAAATTTCATTTACAAAAAATATGCATATGTATGTATATGTTTGTATAGATGAGATGACTAACGGTTCCTCTGTGACTATTATGTTAAACAAATACCAATTCAGACTGTAAGTACTTTTTTCGATTATATTAGTCTGAGAGCCCCTTGGAACTAAATTGCCAACATCTGCATAAACTCCTCATTCTTTTCATCAGAATCGGTGGAGGTTGAGTACCTCGAAGGTGTAAATATGTCGGCAGCCAGCTCGAAAACGCCCTATCTCAAAAAACTTCTCAAGAACGCCCTATTTCAGAATCTTATTGAAAAACACTCTATCTCAGAATTTGGTTGAAGAACGCCCTATTTCAGAATTCGATTCAAAAATGCCCCAGCTCACTTCAAAATGTATTGAAAATGTGCTGATATAGGGCGTTTTTGAATTGGCAGCTGAGATAGGGCGTTTTTGAAACGAATTCTGAAATAGGGCGTTCTTCAACCAAATTCTGAAATAGGAGGTTTTTGAAAAGTTTTTTGAGATAGGGCGTTTTCGAACTGGCTGCCGGGATAGGTTGATCTTCCACTTAGCAGTCGATATATACTCAGATGTGAAAATATTCTTTTTAAATTCGAACATTTTTAAACGATAATCAAATATAAAGTATTCATTTTTACTATACATTATTTCCCTCAGTGCATATACATGTTATACAGTATTAGATTACGGATCTTTATGCCGTTTTATAGATCAGATCGTAAGAGACAGGAGCCACTTAAGAGTAGTAAGGCGTATTGTATTTTGAATAGTGTGAAAACTGACAGTTTATAGAATTCTGAATAGTAGCGATAAACAAACAAAGGGGAGTTGAGGGGTTAAACCTTACCTCAACTGTTACCATTGTTGCTAATTTTAGGTATTAGTAGTTCAACTGCCGGTAAAGCCATTGCGACGCATCGAACAAAATCACTAGGAATGTCCAGGGATCGATCCCTGGTCTGCTAAACCCCGATCGGGTCGGCTTGTCCGTTAACGTTGTCGTCAGCCTCAACTAAGGGGAGGCCCAGGAAGTGTGCAACTTACACCGGGTCTGCCCATAGAGACAGGAGCGTTTGCTGGGTGGGGTTTTTGGGGGCATGCGAAGAGGTACCGTAAGTCTTGTGGCGACACTACGCATGCCCGGCACTCATTGGACACATTTGCGTTCACTCTGCTCAGGTGCGAGTTTAGCCTGCTGCAGTAGCCCGAGCGAAGTTGGGATATTGTGGAGCGATGCGAGTCTTCCGAGGCAGTCTAAGTTCTGTCTCGTCACGTCGGGTGTGCCCAAAACTGTATTCGCAGGTCGGAGTCTATATAACTCAAGACCGACTCCCTGTGAATGCCATTTAAGGCCTGTCGGTATGCAGTTGGGTCCAGAGGTTGCTTAATGAACCTCTACTTTGGCGAGGGCTCTTCTGCGAGCAGTTGTCTGCTCGGATGCCGACATCTATGGTACCTTACTGGAAACTGCTTGCAGAGCATTGTGTTATGCTCCCTGATGGGGAGCATCTGGACGTTGTCGTGAAGGTGGTGTTAAGGCGACATTAACATCGATATGAGAAAAATTAAACAGCAGCGGGGAAAGGGAACCACTCTGTGGGCCCCCTGTTTAATTTTCGTCGAGCAGTTGTCTGCTCGGATGCCGACATCTATGGTACCTTACTGGAAACTGCTTGCAGAGCATTGTGTTATGCTCCCTGATGGGGAGCATCTGGACGTTGTCGTGAAGGTGGTGTTAAGGCGACATTAACATCGATATGAGAAAAATTAAACAGCAGCGGGGAAAGGGAACCACTCTGTGGGCCCCCTGTTTAATTTTCGTCGGTTTGCTGGGTCTGAAAATGTGAAAATGACTGACGCATGGGGACCAGTCATATAATTCGGCAACCACCGTTTGAGTCCCTTGGGGAGAGGGGAAGCATCAATATCGTCTGGTATCGTGGAGCGGCTGACGGTGTCAAACGCCTTTGACAGATTCAACGCTATTAGGACTGTCCACGAGTAATCTGAGTGTTTATGGCGTTAAATGCTGTTGTGCTTTGTAGTTTATGGAACCCAGATGATACCTCGCTGGGGTCAGTTGGTTTGTGTTATGCAAGAGTAAAACGGCCTCAAGTGTCTTCGCTACCGGGGAAAAGAGGGCTATCGGGCATTAAGACTCTCCTTTGTTGGCGAGTTTCCTCGGTTTAAGCAGTGGGACTACCCTTCCCCTTTTTCAGATGCCCGCCATGGACAAATTGAGGACCTTGGTTAAATAATCTACTCCCGCAGGACCCAGCATAAGCACGCAAGTTCCGTCAGGACCTATGGCTTTGGAAGCTTTCGCCTTCCCGATGGCTACCTGAACCTCACCGCTGGTGAAAACAAGAGCTGCACTTGGTGTGGGCAGTTTGTGCATTCATTAAGATCCATGATGCGGGGATTTCCGGGATTGGTCGGACAAAGGTTGTCACGCTCATTGGCTAGCATATTCAGCAGGAAAATTCGTAAGGTGTCGAAAATGCATCCGGCTGGGATTAAGCTGGCTACAGCGGTAGTGACAACCCTGCGGAACTTACGCTCACCTACGTGAACGTCGGTTGGTGTGGGAAGGCAGAGAAGGTGTTTTCAGTAACTTCCGCGAAGTCGTTCCCAATCGGCTTTAGAAAAGTAAATGTAGGTTCGGTGTTCTGTGGAAGCAGGTTTATCGGCAGGTTTATCAATCGAGATGACTATGGACAGATGGTCTGATGCTAAGGTCAGCATAGGTCGCCACGTTATGCTGTTTATCAGACCAGCGCTTACGATTGTTATGTCAGGCGAGCTACTGCAGCTGCCCATAAGCCTGGTGGGTACGTCGTCGTTCATTGTGCATTTGGAAAAAGATTCTCGCGAATAACTGAAATATTCGGGGTTTACCTCTAAAACAAAATCAAAAAAATTTATATTAAAATGATATTGAACTTAAACAAATATGGCGCACGCAGCAAAAAGAATTAATTTGTTTGTTTAACCTTTTTGGAAATTTTGCATTTGTTTGTTTTTTTTTGTTTGGAGTGGGATGGCACAAATTGAAGGAGCAAAATCCCTATACCCAAACGCTACCCATATAAGGGCTCCCAGAAGAGTATTTATTTAAGGTTCATATCAACTGCGTTTTATTGTAACTTTAATAATGAATATTGAAATTCATTTGTGATGATAAATAATATAAACTTAAACTATCGCGTAAATTGTAAATGGGAAAAGCGCTTCCAGATTGCAAGCAGGAAAGCATTTTTACAGTCTCTCCTTGCTAAGCGTTTTAGAACGGCTTCACTCAAAAACCTACCTTAATTATCTTAAAGGCCTATTCTATTTTAATTGCACAAGCTTATACAAAGCATACTAATGTTATTAATTTTTATTGCAGTCTTATTTCGGACTATATACGGGCTATTGACGGAGTATTAACGAAGCTGTTGCGTCGTACGCCCAAAGAACAGCATGTCTATATTGGTGAATTAATCAATGGGAAAGACTTCAAACCGAAGATGGACCATCTTACTTGCTATCTACCTGGCACATTGCTTTTGGGACACAAATTTGGAATGCCTACTTCACATTTGTTGCTCGCGCGCGATCTCCTCGAGACCTGCTATCAAACATATATGCGGCAACCTACACAGCTGGCGCCTGAAATATCATATTTTGCACTGACTGCGAATGAAGAGCAAGACATTTACGTGAAGCCCAATGATGCTCACAATCTTTTGCGTCCCGAATTTATAGAGAGTCTATATTATTTCTATGCATTGACGGGCAATCGTACCTATCAGGATATGGGTTGGAATATTTTCCAAGCTTTTGAGAAATACACTAAAGTAGCTTATGGTTATACGTCGATTGGCAATGTTAAGCATGTTTTTAACACAAGACTGCGTGATATGATGGAGAGTTTTTGGTTGAGTGAAACACTTAAATATTTCTACCTTTTGTTCAGCGACAATCGCAAAGAAATTGATTTGGATAAGTGGGTGTTCAATTCGGAAGCGCATCTGCTACCTTTGAGAAACCACTAAGATCATAATTGCTTGCATGTGTGTACGCGTGCGTGTGTGCAACAAATGTATGTAACCGTGACCATGGCACCGTTAATCACTCTCAATGTAAATATTATTTACACTTATTTATACATGCATACAAACATAGTGCGTATTATCACGAAACTTGAATGAAGTGTATGTAATCGTGATTTTACTTTTGCGTTTGCGCTCAGGTCGTACAGTGGTCGTAATAATTATAGCACCACCACATTTTGGCAAGTTTTAAAATTTTTTCTTTGTTATTTAATTTTGATTATTATTATTATTATCATTCTTTAACAAAACCAATGTAAATCCAAGTTTGAAACTTTGTGCAATATTAAACAAAAAAATCAACAAACTTTCCAAAAATTTCGGGGGTTTCAATTAGATTTTCTAGAATGATTCTGAGTATGCACTTTTGTAGCCCATTGAATTCTAGTAGAATGAAGTACAAGTTTCAAATGGCCAAAAATTATGGTTGTTTTTTGATTTTTTTTTTTGTCCCATTTGCTTCTATAGAACGGATATACAAGATTTATTTTTATATGGAGGAAACCCGTTACATCTTCGATAAAAAAATAAAAAAAAATTAAAATTAAACAAAAAATAATAATATGTCAAAATGGGGTAGGGCTATAATTATTACGACCATTGTATGTAAATAATATATACTACATAAACATAATAATTTATTACTATTTTTAATAATTTAGAGAATAAAATTACTAAACCAATCTTAACGGCAAGTAACTAACCCGCTCTTCATCGACGTCACAGAGTAATTGTAAAATGTGTGAAACTACAAAATAATGCCAAAAACTTAAAAACGAAGATATTAAAACGTGTAAAAGAGTCATAGGCTCGAGGGGCATCTAACTTTTATATTCAATGTTAAAGTATTTCATATGTAGTTGGTACTCGAATCGTCCAAGAAATTTTGGTTAACTTCAAAGAAGAATGCCACCATTTTTTTAATTCTTATAGTCGTTATTGTTATCAAAGTAATATATATTTCTGGTTTTTTCCACAAGAAATCAGAAAAATTCTGAAAATGATGAAGAATTGCCATTCGGCAGGTAAATTTTCGTTGGGTGTCACAAATCTCATTCGAGCAAGGCCTTAGAAAAATTCGGACACTGTGGTTTAAAAAATCCCACCTGTCAAATGTCGAGTTGATAAATTTTGAAATTTGTTGTGATTGTATCCGTGGCCTGAGAACGGAATATTAAAAATAAATATTTTCAAACAGTGCAGATTCAGTAATTATGTGGACGGTGTGTACAACGACATTCATTGAATATTAGAATTGTTGTCCAAAAGAGATATAAGTTACGTCTATTACAACGCGAATTTCTGGCTTGCCTTTTTTGTTTTTTCCTGTTTCAATCTTTTTGAAATATGTACATACGTACATATGTATGTGCCAGAGGCCTCCACGCTTATGCTAGTATGTACGAGTACTTTATTAAATCACACTTCTGACGATTACCTTGATGTGAAAGCGACGTATTTACTCGACATTTCCGCATCGAGACATCGTGTGATTACTAACAACATTTACACTATCTTCAGTACTATTCCGGGCTAATTCTGGCAAGTTCAGACTCGTATGGGATCGCAATTATTAATTGATATCGTCGACATCGTCAACAGCAGTACGACCAGTATTCAGACTACTGAAACTCGATTAAGGAGCACATCACTCCACCAATCGAAGTAAAAACGAACGATGCGGTCATTTTTATTAGGACCATCATCGGTTGCTCGCATCAATACATATGATTTCCTATCACTCTCATTCTCTTGATTTGACCAAAATTTGTGAGAATGGGTTTGGTAAAGGTGAAATTTTTTTCCCCGATTGTTGTAGTTTTAGTCAACCTGGGCTAGCTAGTGTGCCGCATTGCTTTTACATACTAATCGTTGCGCTCTCGCTTTGTATTCGAACACGCAATGTTTCAATGGTACTAAGGTGATGATGCCAACGATGGCATCGCCAGTTATTAACATGTTACCTTTTTATGTAATCGTGCAGGCCTCTATGTAGTATGTACTTCATACAGTTTTATTCATAAAAATAGCAGCGCTGAAAAACTTTTGTAGCTTATGATAATTATTTACAATTTATTGATAAATATAAGCCATGTAAAATAAGAGAAATAATAATAGACAGTTATTGTTCAAAATAAGAAATTCAAGTTCACCCAAATAGCAACTCACTGACTCACTAAAGTACGAAAAGTACGCCCAGACCATGATTCAGTAATTAAAGTTTTGCTTATTATTGACATTCGAGTTTTGACACTCCCTTAACTCCCTTACAAAGGCTTTGCACACACACACACACGAACCCACGCACACTGCCTTGCTAAGGGAGTCGATTTTGTCAAGAGAGAGCGAGAACACTAGATGGAAGCGTCGCCATGTTGTGTTTTACGGTTTTCACCGTTTATCTCGGGTTGTATCGGCCTTCTACGAATTCGCAATGTCCTTCAGAGCCGAGCGGTACCATTTTTCTCTCGTCGGCCCACAAAATATTGAGCCATTTCGTAATAGGCCAATCGAAATTTTCGGGTATGCAGTTTTGTAGCCCATTCAATTTTAGTATAATAAAGTGCAAGTTTCAAGTCGCTAAAAATTACCGTTGATTTTTTAGATTTTTTGTTTTGTGGAGGGTGTTGCGCATTTTCTGCCATATAACACATGATCAAAACATTTTTTTACATGGAAAAAAATCCGCAACACCCTCGACAAAAAAAATTCTAAAAAATCAACGGTACTCCCGAAACTGCATACCCGAAAATTTTCTAAATATTCTAATTAAAAATTTTGAAATTTTGATGAAAATTTTTTGAAGTTTGATTAATTTTTTTGCAATTTGTGCAAGCTTTGCAACTTTTGTAATTGTGGTTTCTGAAATAGATTGAAATATATTTTAAATGAAAATTATTAAAAATAAATAAATAAACATAATTTGCAAGCAATATCGTTTTGAATTTCGTTGCTAATTAGTTGCACGCATCTGTATGTATGTAGCTTTAAGATATTTTGCCAATTCAAGGATGATCAGAAAATTAGCCATCACCAGCTATCAATCCAATCAAGAGCGCAAGCGAAAATAATATGCAAAGTGAGAGGAAAATTAAAGTCAACGAAAAGAAAATTAGCCTTCACTTGTAAAAACTGGAGCAAGAAGACACACCAGCTGGCCTTTTAAAACTAGTATCACTGTCAAAAAATAAAGATTTCGCTCAGAGCGGGAGAGTAACACTGAAAAGTAAGGGATCGCTTTCTAGTAAAATATGTTAAGTTCTGTCAGCTTCAACATAACCTCAAAATTTTGGTTGAACATTTTTGCTTATTTTGTATGTAAATACACTCAGCTAACACATGTTTATGAATAAACAAAAATACTTTCAAATCTAAATACTTTCCAACATGCTTTAGCAGAGCGCACTTCTCTTTTGTTTACAATTTGGTTGTCAAACACACTACAGCTGATCGTTTAACACATTCACCCGAATTTACCAGCAAACATCTTCCGACTAAAACTGATAACTTCTGACAGAGGGGTCCTTATTTACTCTCTTTGTTTCCTCTCAATTGTCAGAGAACCGAGTACGAGATCGAGTTCCAGTAAAATCTGACTAGCCCGGACTCGTACGGGATCGCAACAAGATCGCAAACTCATGGTGCCGCTATTGAAGAAAAAAGAAAAGTGAACGTTCAGTATACGCTAGGAACATTTCTGAAAGTAAAAATTAGTTAGCACTATCACAAAGTAGTCAGTTAAAAATCATAGTAAATACCAAAGTCCAAAAAAGTGGAATTACTTTGTTTACAAAAATTGTAATCATGTTTTCTGATGGATAATTTTTGCTTGCTAAAATTTTCCCAGCACAATATGAGCGTCTCTCTTGCAACGAACTGTCACTTTGCTTTCTCAATTTTCGAGTGATGGATAATTTTTTGGCGTTATCGAACGTCTACTTGTATAAGTTCTGAATAACTATAACACATTTTTGTGTTTTCGAACGCAACAATTGGCATTGTCAAATTTGAATTCGTTGTTTAATAAAAGTAGGCTTAAAATTTAAATTAATATAGAAATCTCATATGAATAGTGAATTTATGCAGACAAAATATGTAGTGGTTTAGTTATTAAGTTGCTTAGGTTTAGAAGGGGCACTTTAAGAACTCCGACGTATATAGTATGTATGTACATTATCGACGACCGAAAATCCACTTCTTTAGAATTTTAATTGGTAATAGCAAAAATATGGTTCATTATGCTCTAAAAATAATCTGTACGAAATATGACAATTTTTGGTCAATATCTTAGGCGCGCCCAAGTCCATCAAAGTTTAAGTGTTAAAAAATGGTTTCTTAGCTTACTTCGATTCTCCGCAAAAAAGTCCATATCGTCACTAGACACGAATAAAGGCGCGAGCTCAAAAGTTGACGGCGAAAAAAGATGCATAAAAAAACTTCAGCGTCAAAGACTCTTCTACTACTCTCTTCTTCTACTTCGCCGAAGTTATTCACAAGCACCTTTTTTCGCAAAATTTTTTTACGCGCCTTTTTTCGCCGTCAAAACACTAGCGCGCCTTTATTCGTGTGTAATGACGATATATCAAGTTATGTAGGACTAATACTTCCGAAGATATTTGCAATTTTAGTAGAAAAATGTGTATATTAATATTTATTTTGTGAGCACATTAAACTTTACATAGATTGTTTGTGGAGCATATTTTTGCTATTACCAATCAAAATTCTAACAAGTAATTCTTAGCAAAAAAAAAAACTCGGTGCGTGTAGTCTCTACGCGCGGAAGAAGTGAAACTTAATAGAGGAAATTCCAGAAAGAAAGAAATGTGCGATATACATACACATGTACTTATTTTCTAATATACATATACAATTTCTCTTCATCTTCATCTTCATCTTCATCTTCATCTTCATCTTCATCTTCATCTTCATCTTCATCTTCATCTTCATCTTCATCTTCATCTTCATCTTCA